TAATGTGACTGCATAGGCTAAATATATTAAGATATTATAAACATTAACTTAATTATGTTCTATAAAGCTGCATGTGTAATTCGAAAAGTGCTATACAAATCAAATTTAAATGAACCAAATTCTTTTGAAAAATCTATTTAGTTTCCAAAACAACAACAATTGTTTTCAATATTGATGATGATAATATTAATGATATTGCAGTTTAATTAACAAATGTAATATACACTAAATATGTATATAAAAAAAAAAATTGTTAATACTTAGACTTAATACTTAGACTTAGACTAAATGTGTATACAATAGTAGCCAGACTAGGAAAATCGACATCTTCACCCTTCATAAAATCTTCTTTTTTTAAGATTTTGTAAGCAATTTGCATACATCACATATTGTTTGGAGTGAATTGTTTATTTTGATAACAATAAATCGTGCCAAATTTTGTCATTCCTAACTTTTGACCAAGCTGTCATACAAAGAAAGTATGACATGAATGCATACAAAACCAAAATATCAACAATTGATTATTGAAGTCAAAGTTTGCTTTTTCCTCTGAGCTTTTTGTTTTTCTATGCATTTGTGTTTTTACATAGTCAAATAAAACTTGTAACTGTACTCTTTTTTTGTTAGATAAATCCTTAAAGTTTAGTATTTTGTTCTTTCCTAATTTAAAATATTTATAAAATGTTTCTTAAATGTTGATGGTTTAATTGAACAAATATCCCCTCTGATCAACACTTTTGGCCACTACTGTACACTACCAGCAACTTCAACTATAGAAAGATTACATAGAAAATATTTACGAAAGTAGAAAGCTTATAAAAACACAACAATAAGAGTAGAAATGATCAGTCCAGTTTTAATGGAATCTGTATGTTATGCAATGGGAGATTTATATGTATAAGAGTGGTGACAGGAATAATAAAGTATGTGAGGGATTTGAATACAGTCCTGCCTGCCCTACACGGGCGCACCGTCCATGCACCTGTATGTATCTGTATATACTGCCCTCTAGTGGGGCTCTGAACCGAGCACGCTGTAACCACGGTAACAATGCCCTGCACAGGCACTCCAGCTTGAAATCCAAGCTTCCTGTCCCCACAACAACCAGGCAGGGTGGGCTAACTGCTGTTCACTGAATGTATTTCCTGTTTTCAAGCAGCGCTTCCGAAACGTGAATGAGAATACTGACCGGAGTAAAACTGGGCATTTTTCAATGGACTGGGAGGGAGGTCTAATGAGCTAGAATGCATTGTTGGATATTTTTAGATCTAAAAATAGCTGCTGTGTGAGAAAATTCCAATAGTACCTTAAAATAATATTCCAGGTTCGGGAAAAAGTTTTGCTTAATTGACTGTATTTGTGGAATAAAGATGAGTACCACAAACAAATATATTTGTATATAGCCGAATTGTCTGCATCATTGTAATAAGATGATTTGGTGCTCAATATTATTATTCAATCACCAATGTTTTTATGGAAATCTTTTTTTTTTACAGGATTCTTTGATGAACAAAGTTTAAAACATTTTACAAGAAAATCACATTTTGAAATCCTTCTAATATGCCGATGAAACATTTCTTATTATCAATGTTGAATACAGTTCTTTGCCGTTTAAGAGTTCTGAGAAAAATTGAGAAACGAGTGTATCTGAGAATTTCACCCTAGAGGCTTCACTGCTCTCTCTACCAGATAAAAATCATTATCATTTTGTTTTTACACCATAAAGTCTTAAATCTTACATCACATTTACTGTAAAGACCCTGAGAAGTAAACTCGTTTGAAAAACCCCAGAAGACTTGTCTTCTGTAAGCCAAGTTGAGAACAATGGATGTGGACAAGCTGATGTCAGAACAACTGGGACAACAGACAGAACAGAAACCGCTCATCCATGACAGGCTCATGATGCCACTGACACACAGACGGGTCAAAGCTGGACTGACAAGTGTAGGGGTTAAAGAGGACTAAAAATGGACAGTTGGACTGAAGCACGATGGAGTCGTGCAGACTAAATGCCTGCCTTCAGTGGCCTCTCCTGTGAACCACATAGAGAAAGCTTGAATTATTAAAGAGGAATGAATAGAAGAACAGACTAAATGAAAGGGAAACACTGCAGAGGTTTAGAGTTTGAAAGTCAGATTTGCGCGATGGAGACTAGGTCCGTGTAAAGGGTTGTGTAACCGGTTTTGATAGCTAAACATCATCTTTTCACACAAATTAGAAGATTTATGTAAAAGCATAACTGATAAAGAGAGACCATAATGGAACCTGAATAAACCTATTTTAAAATGTAAATTGAGCAAGACACTTTGCTTGAAAGTGACATGCTTTCTATAGAAGATGATAATCTCTATTTTTTGTAACAAAAATTATTGCAATTGGATCTAAATTATTATACACATTCTACCTGAAGAACAGTTTTTCATTCAAGCAGAGTTTGAGAATCTGTACTATAGTTTATTATAGTTGTCAGAGAACTTAGATTATAATTTATTTTCCATACAAGATATATTTGTCGTCAACATGCCAGGAATGTAATGATTTCCAAAGGATTTATGGTCCCTTTATCAATATAATATATATATGTATCAGCAAATTTATGCACACATATCTAAATGTATAACAATTATAGCTATGATATACATAAATAGAATAAAAGACACATATTAAATATAGCACAATTAGTTTTTGGTATATGCGGTGTAAGAAGACATGAAACATTATTCACAATGTTTTTTACCTTCATAATGATACATTTCCTAGTGAAAAACTATTTAGATTGAAATAATGTATAAGGGGATTCATATGTGGATTTGATTTGTTATGGAAATGTTTGTTTATGATGTTTACTGGAAGACTGGTACTTTGTATTTCCCCCCATCTGGTCATAGTTATATCAGCAGGAAAGTAGTTGGAAAATGTTGTTACACTGATGACAATTTGGGGAACTTATTTTTTTTTTTAAGGATAGTTCACCTAAAAATGAAAATTGTCTTTACCTCACCCTCAAGTTGTTCAAAACCTGTATGAATTTCTTTCCTCAGCTGAACACAAAATAAGATATTTTAAAGAATATGGGTAACCGACGAGTTTATGGACCCCACTGAGTATGGAAAAAAGAAAATACTATGAAAGTTAATGGGTCCGTCAACTGTTTGGTTAGAGACATTCTTCAGCAAATTCAGCAAAAGCTGAGAGTATGATGACAATTTTAATATTTGGGTAAACTATCCCTTTCATTTTAATGTTTGGGTGAACCATCCCTTTATATTTAAAATAATGGGCGCAGATAAACCATAAACAGTAAGACCAGCAGCATTTATTTAGGAAGCACAAGGTCATTTTGGATTTCATGCTGCCTTTTCTCATTGGATCAGTCCATACTATGTGCTGAAATCCCTCTGAGACTCACACTCTTTGAGTCCATTTGTCCTGCCTGCAGATTAACAAAGATAACTTATCAAATATTGTGCAGCTCACACAGCGTTCAGAGCTTATGTATAATTCATCGCTGATATATAACATTTCATATTAGGTGGGCCGTCAGCCTCTTTCTACTCGTGGTGTTTCTCTTACAATTTATCTCAGACTCCGTTAGCTCAACACATCTTTTTAAAGCAAGGTATTATAAACAAGCCCAGTGGCCTCTAGCAGTGCAGCTCTTTAAAAATTCATCAATGAAAGAACTGCCCCCTCTGCACCATATCAGTTTACCTTTAATTCACAAAAGCGTGACGAGACATACATTATTAACCAGCTGCAAGACCAGCCAAGCACACAACACCCCCCAAGCGAATCCAGACACACAAAAACAAACATGGACCCCAGAACATGAAGCTGCCCATCTCACAAAAAAAAAAGAAACCTTTTTAGTGTGTCAGGGCTGCACAAAGTGAGTCTTAACCGACATAAGAGGGGAAGTGTGAAAGTTCACTTCCTTGCTTCAACACCAAGGACAATGGGTGGCTGGGTGGGTCTCCACCTTTATGTTCTTTCTCCCGTCTTTCATCCTGTCAATGGTATGGACATCACATCCGGGTGAAGACAACAAATGGTGGCAAGAGCTCTGAATGGACTGCTCGTCTCAAAAGAATTTGTAGAAACCGTTATGGTGCTGTATGTAAAGGTTTGAAATTGCACAGGTTGCTGGTAATGATTTAGAACCAACAATGAAGACAAATATAAAAATAAAACAACTCGGCTGATTAAAATCACATGCTAAACTCTGATGCATTAATCACAGAAGTAATCAGTGAATGAATCTGAACAATTTAAGATTCGAGTCACCGGGATGGATTGAAATCTCCACGACTACTTGCTGATCGAGTCCTAATTCCACAACCTCAAAACCAAAGCAGAACGGTTGCACGTTACAGACCGAATTTATCTCTGCCACACAAGACACAACAAACACACACATACAAATAATAGTAGTAATAATAATAATAAGATGATAATTCACTATTTAAATAATTACTCAAAATTTTAATACACACTACAGTACCTTTAAAACATTTTTATAAAATTATATTTTATATAAAGAAATAAACTTTTATTCAGCAAGGAATAAGGAATAAAGGAATAAATAAATATTGTTCTTTTTAACTTTCTATTTATTGAAACAATAGTGTAAAAATATGCATCATGGTTTCTGCAAAAACATTAATTAGCACAACAGTTTCATCGTTGATAAGTAATGTTTCTGAAAGCGGCAAACCAGCAAATTTGAATTTCTGAAGGGCATTGAAGACTGGAGTAAATGCTAATGAATTAAATCCATCTTAAAATACATACAAATTTAAAACATTTGTTTGAAATTTTAATATTTCACAATATACAATTATACTGTATTTTTGACCAAATAAATTCAGCCTTGGTGAGCAGAAGACCTTTTCAAAAGCAGAAACTCTTCCCAACCCCAAACTTGTTTTGAACGATAGTGAAGTTCTGAATCCAGGTGGTTCTTCAGTAAAATAAAATTTGTACATCAGAAAGCTACTTACGATTCACACGTCTGGCAGCTGTTAGTCCTTAAAGAGTGGTTCTCCACCTCTGACCTCTGTGAATAAGAGAAAGTGGGTATTAAAGACCATCTCATTTCCTCTTGTTCTTATAAAGGAAAGACAAAAACTACTTAAATCTGCTTCAATTTTATCCAGGTGTATAAGTAAAAACATGATGCTACTCATTACTAGTACACAATCTCAAACAAAGTCTAGCAAGGGACAGAGATTTCAGAAGTTTTACCTTTCACTAAACATATTTAGATGTATCGAAATCGTCTTCCATTGCGATTTCCTGTATATCTAAATATGTTTAGATCTTCACAGTGAAAGGTAAAACTTCAGAAATCTCTGTGTAAACAATGAGTGACGTACACACACAAGCGATCACTTCCGACGCATGCACAGACCGAAGCGTCGTGCCTTCAGTCACTTGGACGTGGCTGTGGTTACAAGAGGTAAAAACAATATAAATACTGTTTTTATTCTAACACACACCGCTCGTTTCGTGTTTTAGGCCATCAATGTGTACTTTTACGAGTCATTAAATCATGTTTAATTTTGACTTCTCTGTGAATGCTCTTTAAGGTGGACCCAAGGTGGACCCCCTAAACCTGCATTATATGAATGACAGACAAGAACGGTTTGACCGAAAAATATCAAAATTGAAAATACTGTGGAAACAAAGACACCTACATCTTGGATGCCCTTGAGGTAAGCTAAAACATATCAAAAATTATTTTCAAAGTGAGCTATCCCTTTAATAGTCATTCTCAAATAAAACCTTTAGGTCCTAGGTATAAGCTTGGATTGGATACGAACATTATTGATGGGCTGCTCAATTTGACAGCTTATTAGTCAATGTTGGTAAATAAATAAACGCAGACATAAAATAATGCATTTTTTTAATTGCTACTATTTAAAAACATTAAATAAAAAATGTTAACATGCATGATATTGAACATATTGTGAAGGATTAATCCATGCATTTATATATTTTTTTTACTTTGTAAATTGGTGACGTGCTAAATTTCTCCAATCATTTAACCCAACCTCTTACAATCAAATGCAAGCTCAAATTTTATTTTTTGATAGGTACATCACAATAGATAGAAAAGATCTGTTGCTACTTCCAGTACACTGCGACGTTAACATTCCGCAGGGAGGGTTTATATAAAAATAATATATAAACCAGGCCTAATACATATGGAAGAGTTGAATAATCAACACATTGAAGAAACACACTCAGAATAGTGACCATTTCTGATAGCGTTTTCCATGAATCGCAAGAGAATAATGATAGAGAAATCAGTAGAAGTAGCCCTGTGGTTGTCACCTTAAGTAGCTGCTCATTTAAATAACATTAAAAACAGTCACTGAACACTACCACATCACACTGCCCATCAGTCACCAAATATCCACCAATATGCCACTCATATTGGTGGAAATTACATTTTCGGTGAAGGAATCGTGGTCATTTCGTCACTACAAAATATAACAGTTTAGATCTAGACAAAGACCTCTACAATGAAGACAACCAAAAAAAAAAAAAAATGATTAGTATGACATGCTGCAAACATGAGGATTTTTCAGCTGACTCCACGGAGAAGATAAACAATTAAAGGGATAGTTTACACAAAACTGAAAATTGTCATCATTTACTCACCCTCAAGTAATTTCAAACCAGTATGAATTGATTTCATCTGCTGAACATGGAAGATATTTAAAAGAAAGTTTGTATCCAAAAAGTTGTTGGTAGCCATTGACTTCCATAGTATGGAAACAAAATACAATGGCAGTCAATGGCTACCGTTCAGCTGTTTGGTTACTCACGTCATTTACGAGTAACACAACAAAGAAACTCATACTACTTGAGAGAGTATTTCTTGATGACTTCACGTATTACTGTAGTTCAACCCAGAAGCAAGCAGCACCCTGGTTGCCTCAACAACCCAAAATGATTTTTCTATTGGCTTCTGGATTATTGCAGAAACTTTTGTACAAGGGGGTATTAGAGATTTATTTTATGGCGTAGAATAAAACGTGAAAATATCTTGTTTTTGATATTGAAAACCATTGAAAAAACACTGGTTTTGGGACGATGGAACCGAAAGTGCTAAAATGTTTGTTTTCATGTTTTGGCCTACAAAAATATTCAGCACTCTGCATACATCCTCCAGACTACACAGAAAATAAGAATGACCTGAAATGCACTCTAATATGATGCTGTTCAATAACACACAGAGGCCACCGAGAGGAAACCAGCTCATACACACCATTCATTGTAACTTACACCAAAAAGAACTGTTTTCATACCAGACCTTCTTTTACTCTGATCCCAGAGGTAACATGAGGACAGGCAAATCCCTTCAGGCTTAATACATGAGAAACACACTATAGAGGGGTTGGGGGTCTAGTACTGCAAAATTGGATGACATGTGACCATCAACAGTCACCTAGAAGAGGTGTCTCATATTGAAACTAGAGCAATTTCCCAGGATTTTTCTCAAGAACCTTTTACAAAATCGACAACAGGGGCGTTGAGACCAAATTGGGATGAGTGATGAATATTAGATGAGACAAACAAAAGAACAGTCTTTGGATAACAGCCTGCTTTTAGAATGAGTTCAGTACAGCTGCCATCTCAGTATGCACCACATGAGTTCTCTAACTGGACAAATTAGAAATTTTCTTTAGTGAAATGAAATATTCACTATATATATAGTGAATATGCACTATATATATATATATATATATATATATATATATATGGTTCTTTTTAATTCAGTCAAACTGACAGTGTTCGTACAAAAACAAAACAAAAACAAAAAAAACTGTAGGTGACAAACTACGATGGGTGAAAAAAATTGAGCCATAAAGTGCTTTATTTAAAGCTCCAGTCCATAACTTTTTTGGGGATAAAAATGATCCAAAGTAAATTTGAGAAAGTACACAACCAGCCAGTGTTCAAAACTATCATTTTGCCTCGATTGAAAACGGTAAGCTTGTAATAATGTTTTTAATCCCAGTGGTACTGGTGGATTTCCGTGGAAGGTTCAAGCATGTCTTTGCGCTCTCGCTCTGTATAATGCCAGAAGTCTCAGTATAATGATTGCGCACTCTTCTCAGCTGTCCAAGCAACGGACGCCGGTCGGAAATAAAAAAAAATAAATAAAAAAAATAAAAAAAAATCGGTGTAGATTTGTGCCGATTCATATGACTCTGTAGACCTCTAAAAAAAAAAGATCGGTGTAGATTTTTGCCGATTCATATGAATCTGTCGACCTCTACCTGAAACCACATATGAAACCCTGCAAAATGGTAGAAAAGCATTTGTACAGCAGAGCGTCTCTTGCACTATGAAGTGACAAAACACAGTTACCTAGCATAACCACGGTCCCCTCTAGAAGAGAGAATGAGTATTGTGTAAGTTAGCTTACGCTACAGGAAAGATTAATCTTTTTGAGATATTGAAGCCAAAAAAAATATCCTTCATTTTTATATTCACAGTCAACGCAGTGCAGAAACTAGCAGACCTAGAACAGGCTGTTTAGCATGCTCACAGGCTGCCCTGCAGGAACTGCAGCAGCCTAACACTGACCCCGACGTGACGCCAATGAAGGACGATCGCGTCTACAGTGTCATAGCCCACCAGTATGGGCATGGCTTGGCGTATAAGCAGGGCTTGGAGGCCGTTTCTCTGGTTTTCATCGACTGAAGTGAAAGTAGCTAGTCACGTGAGCACGGCAGGTTACGCAACACTCGTTCCCTCTTCTAGAGAGAACGAGGTTAAGTTAGGTAAAAGATACGTTCTCTTACGAGAGGTTCTCTCGTATTGCACAAGTTAGCTCTGAGTCGGGGAACAAGATAAGTGGAAAAATAGTGGCCATCATAGCGGGCCGACACATGTATAAGCAGCCCAGGGGAAATGCCGCGCAGCATAGCCGGTCTGACATAACGGCCCATTATAGTACGGCTCAACCAGAAGAAACGTGACAGTAGCTAGCCTGCATGCAGAAATGCGGGCAGACCATACAGACCATTAGACTAAGAAAGGTTTAGCCTGCAAGGAGTGAAATTCCATGTTATAAAACCTCACAAATGTAAACGAAGAGGCTCAGCCTGCCGCCGTACAAATGTCATGAATAGAAATTCCGATGGACTATGCCCACGATGAGGCCATGCCTCTAGTGGAATGAGCCCTGATGTCCAAAGGGCACTGCAGATCTTTTGATGCGTAAGCAGCAGCAATAGCGTCCACAATCCATTTCGAGGCGGTGAGACGCTTGGTGTACCCACCAAACGAAAGAAAAAGCTGCTCCGAGCGCCTGAAAGGGGCGCGCAATTTAAACCTTAAGCGCTCTGACAGGGCAGAGGATGTTAGTATCGCTCTTGTTATCGGATGCTGGCAAAGCTGATGGCAAAATGATCTGCGCTCTTAAGGGAGTGCCAATCACCTTCGGGACATAGCCATGCCTAGGTTTGAGGATGACTTTAGAGTCATTTGGCCCAAACTCGAGACCGCAGCACTGACAGAGAGCACGTGTAAATCCCCCACATGTTTGACTGTTTTCAGGGCCTCTAAGACCAATGAAAGGTCCCAGAAAGGAACCGACGGGGGCCGCAGAGGGTTCATCCTTCTAGCTCCTCTAAGGAAACGGATGTCCAACTCCTTTCTTACGATTTAATCTGGCCACTCGTCAAATCTGTGAACGCTGCGATGGCCGCCACATACACTTTGAGAGTGGAGGGGGACCTGCCCTTGTCCAACAGCTCTTGAAGGAAGACGAGCACCTGCGAAACCCCACATTGGTTCTGTCGTCTGTCTGTGCACCATTTGGAGAACACAGACCATTTAGATGTATAGAGCTTTCCAGTAGAGGGTGAGAGAACCTCGAGAGAACCTTTCATAAGAGAACTAGTTGTCCTGTCCAGTTCCGTCACACAGAGCAGATTTTCTGAGAATGCATCCTGAAAATGTACGGGTGCGAGTTTGGTCATAGATGGCAGTTGTAACTCCATAAATAAACTTCATGTAGCCTATTTGCCCAGCAAA